GCCAGTATCACAGTTCAAATCTATCAGTTCTTCTGTGGTATTCCTTATTCATTGCTCAGCTCTCACATGCATATGAAGCTATTGAAAATACTTGAAATATACTGAAATGGCTTGGGTCAGGCCCACTTTAGTCTTCAAAGTGATCTCTTTGCTTTTAAACACTTTAAAGAAATCTTTTGCAACAGATTTTCTCAATGAAATACATCCTTTGATTTCTTGACTGCTTCCATGGGCATTGATTGTGGATCCAAGTAAAATAAAATCCCTGCCAACTTCAGTCTTTTTCCATTTATCATAATGTTGCTTATTGGTCCCACTTGTGAAGATTTTAGTTTTCTTTCTGTTGAGATGTAATCCATACTGAAGGCTGTGGTCTTTGATCTTCATCAGTAAGTGCTTCAAGTCTTCTTCACTTTCAGCAAGCAAGGTTGTGTCATCAGCATATCATGGGTCATTAATCCATCTTCCTCCAACCCTGATGCCTGTTCTTCTTCATATAGTCCAACTTCTTAGATTATTTGCTCAGCATAAAGATTGAATAAGTGTGATGAAAGGATAAATCCCTGATGCACACATTTTTCTTGCTTTTAAACCATGCAATATCCCCTTGTTCTTTTTGAAAGACTGACTCTTGGTCTATGCACAGGTTCCTCATAAACAATTAAGTGTTCTGGAATTCCCATTCTTCACGATGTTATCCATAATTTATGATGATCCACACAGTTGAAAGCCTTTGCATAGTCAATAAAACACAGGCAAACATCTTTCTGGTATTCTTTGCTTTCAGCCGAGATCAATCTGACATCAGCAATGATATCCCTTGCTCCACACCCTCTTCTGAATCTAGCTTGAACTCTGGCAGTTCCAATATACTGCTGCAACTGTTTTTGGATTATCTTTAGCAAAATTTCACTTGCTTATGATGTTAATGATATGCAGTTTAATAATTTCCACATTCTGTTGGATCACCTTTCTTTGGAATGGGCACAAATATGTATCTTTTCCAAGTGGTTGGCCAGGTAACTGTCCTCCAAATTTCTTGGCCTTAAAGAGTGAGCACCTTCAGCATTGCATCCATTTGTTGAAACATCTCAGTGGGTATTCTGTCAATTCCTAGAGCCTTATTTTTCACCAATTCCTTCAGTGCAAGTTGAACTTATTCCTTCAATATCATCAGTTCTCAATCATATACCGTCTCCTGAAATGGTTGAACATTGACCAGTTCTTCTTGGTACAGGATTCTGTATACTCCTTCCATTTTCTTTTTTATTTTTTTCTTTTGATTTGGGTGAAGATTTACAGAGCAAATTCACTTTCCATACAGCAGTTTACATATACTTTGTCTCATGTCATTGACCACAGTTTACCACAATGCAACAGCTCCCCTCGCACTTCCTCCCCATAGTTACCTCTTCCCAGTGTCCATCCCTCCATACTCTCCTGCGCCCTGAGCTGTCTCCCTGTGCATAAGCAGCCCTTCCTTCTCCCATGATTGTTCTCTCCAGGGCGTGTGTCTACTTGACAAAGTACACATGCCTGTACTTTGTTTGGCTGGAAACCACAAGCGTGGGTTCAATTCCAGACCTGAAGGGCAGCTCGGGGCCATAGTCTCAGTGGTTCCACCAGGCTCTATTGGACCAGTAAACCGGGTCCCCACCTTTTATTTTTTTCCCTCCAAATGATTTTGAGTTTGTTCCACATTGTTCTCCCTCTCTATCCAGGATCTCCTACATCCCTTCCACGTGGATGACAGTGGTAGCCGGGCACCACCTAGTTCTTCTGGTCTCATAGTTGTATAAGTTGCAGATCGGATGGTGTACCAGTCGCTAGGACTGATTGTTTCCATTAATTTTGGTTTTCTTCTTTCTTCTTGGCGAGGAGAGACCCATCATTGCATCTAGATGGCAGCTTTCTAGCTTTTAATATCCCAGTCTCTACTCGCCAAAGTAGGAGGTGGAACAATGTTTTGTATAGTATGTTATGCCAATTGAGCTTGATGTCCCCTGCGACTATGGTCCCAAGCCTGCAGGTTCAACTACTCGGTCACTCTGGGTAGCTGGCTGTGACTAAGCAGTGATCACAACCTTGCCCCTTGTTTCCATTTTCTTTTGATGTTTCTTGCATCATTCAATATTATGCCCATAGAATCCTTCAATATCGCAACTCGAGGCTTGAATTTTTTCTTTAGTTCTTTCAACTTGAGAAATGCCGAGCATATTCTTCCACTTGGATTTTCCAACTCCAAATCTTTGCACATTTCCTTAGAATAATTTACTTTGTCTTCTCGAGCCACCCTTTGAAATCTTCTGTCCAGTTCTCTTACTTCATCATTTCTTCCATTTGCATTAGCTACTCTCTTTTCAAGAGCAAGTTTCAGAGTCTCTTCTGACATCCATTTTACTCTTCTCTTCCTTTCCTGTCTTTTTAATGACCTTTTGCTTTCTTTATGTGTGATGGCCTTGGTGTTATTCCCACAACTCATCTGCTCTTTGGTCACTGTGTTCAATGCATCAAATCTATCCTTGAGATTGTGTCCAAATTCAGGTGGGATACACTCAAGCTCATATTTTGGCTCTTGTGGACTTGTTTTAATTTCCTTCAGCTTCAACTTAAACTTACACACGAGCTATCGACGGTCTGTTCCATAGTTGGCCCGTGGCCTGTTCTGACTGATGATATTGAGCTTTGCCATCATGTCTTTCTGCAGATGTAGTCTGTTTTCGTAAGGATTTCTCATAAAGGTTACAGCCTGGGAAACCCGATGGCATAGTTCTGCTTTCTCACGTAGGGTCACTACGAATTGAACTCAACTTCAAGGTACCCAACAACAATGGATTTAAACAGTGAAGAAAGAAGAAAATCACTGTGTTCATATTTGCCTCACGCAGAGTTGGTGAGTTGTATGGTGGCCTTGTGGTGGGCTAAGCAAGGTTTCAGAGGCCTCTGGAGAGCTGGGGTCTGCCCCTGCATGTGCCACCAGACAGGTCTGTGCTATGTGACAAACCAGTCTTTGTGTTCATGGATTCAGTGTGCGCATCTGTAAAATGGGATGATTGGACAGGTTAGTTCCACACTCTTAGTTGGAAAACAACTCGACGGCAGTGAGTTTGGTTTTTCTTGGTTTTCTGCTTTCTCTGGGTTAGATGCTTGGTAGAGGTGTGAGGTTCTTAATCACTTTGGGCCCCTGGGTCAGAGAGTGCCTATCCTCGGTGGACTGTACTAATAGGGGAGTCACACAGGAGGTTCTGGACTTGAATGGCCAGGGCCTGCCGAGCCGGGGCTTCAGATATGGTGAACAACCCCTGACCCTGCTCCCAGGGCACCCTGCCTGCCCGGTGACAGCACCGTCAAGCAGTACTGGGATAATGTGTTGCATTGCCTTCCCCTAGACTCTGAGGTTCAAGGACAGAAGGACCTTGTCTACCTTGTTTCACTCATATATCCCAATGTCAAGCACAGTGCCCGGCATATCTCAGATACCAAATAAAAACTGGATAGATAGATTTATGGATGGATAGATGGGGGAATGGGTAAGTGGACAGAATGGACAGATGGTTGAAAGATGCTTCTCCTTGTAGAGTCATTTCTCTTTTGGGGTTCAGCAGAGTGTGTGTCGGTTCACTTCAGATACTTGAGTCTCACCTTCCTTATTTACTGTGAGTCAGACTTTCAAAGGACTTCTGATTGACTCTGAGTTCTGTAGCCTAGGGTATTATCGGTTGACACTAGCAGCCCAGCATAGGAACGAATGCTCACCTGGGTGTGTCTGCATCCCGCAGAATAGATAGGCCACTGTCAGCATCCTGCACTATGGCCACGCCCTTGGCACTCATCAAAGACACTTCGTCTTTTGGCTCACATCTTCCCTGAATAAGGGCCTCTGAGATGTCGTATCGTCCTGTGTGAAATGTTGAGAAAGCAGTGTGTAATTGATGAATGGATTTGCCTTTCTTTCTCCATCTTTAGAGAGCGCCCCCCAAAATCAGGGAGTTGGTGCAGTCATCTGAGACAGTTCTGTGTTGTTGAAACTGGCTGTGCCTCGGCCTTTCGCCTGTCCTAGATGGTGTGGTTGAGTTTCTCACCCGTCAGTCATGTGGCTCATGATAAAACAGGGGCCGGAAGTAAGTCCTTATCCTCCTAGTCAGCAGTGACTGAGTGCCAGCAGTGTGCAGGGTGACGAGGTGGACACTGTGTGGTGTGATAGGTAGGTCACAGGTGAGAAGGTGGTGGTATAAGGTGATACGGAGGTGGCCGTGTGGGGCAGCGGGGCAGGCGGTTGTGTGAGACAATGGGTGGGTGACGGTGTGGGGTACAGAATCCAGACTGGGTTCCTGTGAGCCTTCAGCCCTTTCTTCTCATCTGGTCTCAGAGCTGCCCTGTGACTTCCTGTTGTGGTTGTAGATTTTGTCTAAAATCCTAATGAGGTCTGCTTCCCCAGCCCTTCTCCCATGGTGCCTTCTGAAGAAAACCACCTAGTACATTCTTGGTGGACCCTTCAAGTGCCACATAGCTGTGTGCCATGACTAAGATCACTGTTGTGAAATGAGAGGCCTGATGCCAGAAAGGCATTTCCAGACAGAGGTCTTTGGGGTTGTCAACCCCTCTTTCTGGGGTCCACCTGCCAGCCTTGGAAGGCTGGCTTGGGACTGTGGCTATTTAAGAAGAGGGGGCCTAGGCCTGATGTGGCCCCTGTGACTCATGGGAAGCTGTCTCTGGGCACTTGGCGGGAACCCTTTCCCAGCAATGGCTCATGGGCGGTGCTTCTGTCTCCAGGGGAGGCCAGCGCATCCACGATGTGGGATAACAATGCCTGGACCTTCTTCTATGAAAACAGCACGGATGGCGAGCCGCCCTTTCTGATCCAGGACTTTATCCATGCCTTCCAGCCCCATGCCAAACTGATCGTCATGCTCAGGGACCCCGTGGAGAGGTGAGTGCAGGCCCAAAAAGAAAAGACAGGCTTTCTCTTTGACTCTTTTTTCCCAAAAGCACATGGCCTAACATTTACTACTGAGCCAGCCTATTTAATGCAGAAGCATGAAAACAAAGGAAACCCCCTCCGCCTCCCAGAATTTCCCAATAAAACATAGAGTGCATTGTTCAGACAGTGGTGAGGTTTTCAGCTTGCTCTGTAAGATGTTCATGAACTTGATAGAGCATGACTGTGTCAGGCATCGTTGGGTAACTGCTTACAGACCCAGCTTGGTTCTTCTCCAAGGAAAAGGCAATTTAAAACAAACTGATTGTGGTAAAATATATGTAAAAAAGTGTCTGCACATTCGCCACATTCTAGTCTGTGATACAATGATGTTATGACTATGTTCTCTGTGGGGTGTAGCTGTTTCCATAAGAAATATGACATGCTGTCAGCAACTCAGGGCCCCTTCAGCAACAACACTTTCCCTTAGGCCCCTGGTAACCACTTGCAAACTATGCAGTTAGTTGCCTGTTCTAGATCTTTCATGTAAGTGGATTCATTCTATTAAAATAAAAATCATATTAAGTCAATAATAATAATTGATTGAGGTTTATTGAATATACTCACTGCCACTGAGTTGATTCTGACTCATAATAACCCTATGGGACAGAGTAGAACTACCCCATAGGGTTTCCAAGGATGTTGCCATCTTTCCAGAAGCAGACTGCCCCATTGTTCTCCAGCAAAGCGCAGGTAGGTTTAAACCACCTACGTTTTGGTTAGAAGCTTGGGTAAACATTTTAACTGGAGAGACAAACACGTTTTGGAGACGAGAGAACCTCACAACACCCTTACCAGATCTTATTGCCAAGGAAAACAAAGGGTGGGGACAGGACCGATAAATCTGTGGCCAGGAAGTGTTTTCCTGCAGCAGTGTCTTGAAATACAGTTAAAATAATTACCATGGACCCTAAACTTGGCTTCCAGTCTGACCCTTGGCATCTGCTTCCCAAAATGACCACATTCTTCAAGAGCACAAAGTCCAAGGCAGATGGTCCCATTCTGTTACCTGGACCACTGTCTGACTCAGGTGACTTGCAGGAACCAGTTTCTTTGAGGCTTGAGGTTCAAAAGGACACCTAAGGGTGATGCCCTGTGTGGGTTACCCCAGCTTCCCTGAGAGCCAGAAATCTGGGTTCCAGGAGAATGAAGATGGTTTCTCTGTCCACTGTCTGTCCCTTTGTGCTCGACTCAGTTCACTCAGCATCGTGTTTACGAGGCTCATCCGTGTTGTAGGGAAAAGGCAGCTTGGGAGAGCAATCTTTTTTCTCTTCACGAACAAGATTTTGCCTCTCTTTGTTTTTTAAATAAACAAACTTAACTTGCAATGTTACTGCTATTTCTTCTGTAAATATTATTCTTTGGGCAATCCTCACTGTGTTTATACAAATTGTGGATTGTTTCTTAGCCATTCTGACCCTTGAGCCTCCAGCCTCTGGTGAATCTGAGCTGGGGACATGGGAAGCCTGTTTGGGTACCGTCAGGACTTGCAAAACACTCTGTGTGGGGGTGGGGGTGGGGACTCTCCTCTGGTTTAACTCCTAGAATTCTGCGACTGCCACCTCATGAGCAGCTTTGGATCCTTGTCAGCTCTGCATGTGAGTCTCCAGTTTTTCTTGAGAAACCAAAAGGGAGGACAGTGGAGGGGAAGCTGCCTGGTCTTAAAGATCTGGACGTGTCCAGTGTGGATGATGGACAGCCAGTGGGGCATTGAACGGCCTGTGCAGAGGTAGCCTGCGGGGCCAGTACTCATGTTACCAAAATCGCTGGTGATGCCTGCGGAATCTTGGGAAAATCATTTCATCCACCCTTGCCCCTGAATACCACCATGTCAGAGATGCAGGGCCCCGTCTAGTCCAGGGCCTCCAGTTCTTCCCTGTTTCAAGTCTGGGTCTGTCTTTTGGGAACGTCTACACCTTGGTTGTTTCTTCTAAGTGTTCAAGACCCTCCTGATACTCAGACAGCCCAGTCCTTGGTGTCTTCTTCCTTTGGGCTGAACCCCTGGGCCCCTTCTTTCCTTGGATGACCTGCCTCTCTGGCCTCACATACTTGCCAGTTATAAAAATAGTACATGTTTGTTGTGGAAATTTAAGTAATACAGTGGAAAACAACAAAGGAAACAGACTTTTTAAAGAACACGCATGCTCTCCTACTCAGAGAATACTTCTTATTTGTATTGTGGAATATTTTTTTCCAGGTGTTTTTGCTATGCAGATAAATATATTGATTAGAGGTGTGTGTGTGTGTGTGTGTGAGAGAGAGAGAGAGAGACAGACAGACAGACAGACAGAGTAAGCACCAGAGAATTCTATTGTGTGAACATACAGTCTTAGGTCTTGCTTCTTTCATTTAACACTGTTGACCCCACATGGCATGCTTTAAGGTGACCCTTGTCACTTGTCCCTGATTTATCTCTATGCACACCACTTTTTGGAGTCCTAAGAATGGCTGCCACTGTGTAGCTGGGTCACTGCCTCCCTCAGTCCCTGCCCCGGCCTCCATTAAAGCAGCTTGAACACGTGTTTGCTCTTGGGGCCACGCCGTCTGGCTTGGCCTCCTCAGCGTGCATGGTTCCACGCTCCGCTTGCTGTATGTCTTCCAGCCTCAGGAATCCTTCCTTCCTGGAAGGCCCGGCCTTGGGGCAGCTCCCACGTCCTACCTGGTGGTTCCTACACACCCAGAGGCCGGGACTTGGCCCTTTCCTCACAGGGCTGCAGGTCTGTGTCAGAGAGAGGACAATTGACACAAACCAGTGGTGCCCTCGAGTGGACATGATTATGTAACTTTCGGCCTCGGAAGGAAAGTCCCCTCACCCCCGCTGAGGTGTTTTCACAGCTGCTTTGCCTCTCCCCTAAGCCCTACTCAGCTGAAGTTCACAAGGCTAGAACATTCTCTCAGGAATGTCTTTCTGTCACACCTCCCTAGTCTTCATCCTGAGGAAGGTCAGGCTGGCCTCCACTCCACAGGGCCCGTGGAGAGAGGTGAACAGAGAAGTAGGGGCTGGTCTGTCTCTGAACTCAGCATAACGACTGTTTGAGGTGTGCACCCACATGCCTTTGTTATGGGGAGACATGTGTGATAGTGATTTGTTTTGGTCCTACAGATTCCAGCAAGGGCCACATGAGAGTAGAGAAGGGGTGCTAAGGACAGAGGGGTGCAGAGGAGACAGTGAGCTCGGGCGGGAGGCCCAGGAAGGCTGTCCCGGAGCAGCCAGTGCAGGCCACAAGTTCAGGATGAGCCAAGTTTGTCAGGCAAACAAGGACAATGGGCCAAGAGGAGGGACTGCTCTGAGCAGAGAGAAGGGCAAGAACATGTGCTCTGTGGCTGAGGAGCGGAGCCAGGTTCCCGAAATGTGTCTTTCTTCCTGGAGTCTTCCCGGTCTGAGGACGTGTAAAGGGGCCGTTGAGCAGGGAGGGCAGCTGGATTGGCCACGTTCAGATGGCTGAGCCAGAGGTGGCATCCCAGCCCAGGCTGCCATCTTGTAGAGACTCTTGCTTCATGACATGATATCCCAAGGGGGTCACCAAGAGTTTGCTTTTCTTTTTGTCAGGACAAATGCTCTGTTTGTCCTGGGACCTGAAAGTGGAGGGTTCTTGTCTTGCTGGTCCTCAACTCGGCAGAAGTTGTTCATCGATTCTAAATCTGTTGAGCCCCTACCAGGTGCCAGACACAGGGCTGGGTGCTGAGCAAACGCACCATTGGGAATGAGGTAGGCAACCCCATGTCTGCCCTCTAGGAGCTCACGCTTTGTCAAGGGAGCAAGACACTGACCACGTTGTTCCATATCTGATGGTGCTGAGGAGGAGGAAGGCAGGCTGCCACTCAGATCACGTATCAGGAAGCCAACACAGTCATCTTGTCTGTCAGCTTGGCACGCTGTGGGGCACTGTGTGTTGCTATGGTGCTGGAAACTACACCACTGGTATTTCAGGTACCAGCAGGATCACCCATAGTGGACAGGTTTCAATGGATCTTCCAGATTAAGATAGACTAGGAGCTCTGGTGGTGCAGAGGGTAAAGCATTAGACTGCTAACCTAACTGAACCCACCAGCTACTCCATGGTAGAAAGATGAGGCAGTCTGCTTCCGTAAAGATTGACGGCCTTGGAAACCCTATGGCGCAGTTCTGCTCTTCTTATAGGGTTGCTATGAGTTGGAATCGATTCAATGACAGTAAGTTTTTATGGGTTCAAGATAGACTAGGAAGAAAAGCCTGTGATCTTGTGAAAATTAGCCAGTGGGAACCCTCTGGTTACAGAGAACATTGTCCAACTCGCTTGGTTTGGATTCAGCATCAGGAGGGATCAGTCGCTGGAGAAGACATGGTGTGCAGTGAAGCAGAATGTCATTGAGGGATGGGAGACCCTGGGTGTGACGGATTGGCACAGTGGCTGCAACGATGGACCCAAACATGCCTGTGAGTGCAAGGAAGACACAGGGCTGACTGTGTTTCGTTCTGTTACACATCACGTCACCATGAACCATACTAGACTTGATAACACTGACAACAACAGCCGAGTCGTGGGGTCACTTACTGTGTCAATAATTGATTGTTGTATAACAGATAACCACAAATACAGCAGTTGAAAATTACACACTTTTTTGCAGATTAGGATCTTCCACTTTAGGGTCTTTCAGAGGCTGCAGTTGAGGTGTCGGCCAGGGTTGTGGTCGCATCTGAAGATCTGAAGGGAAGATCCACTCCACACTCACTGGTGGTTGGCAGAATGGGGTCCCTCATGGGCTGTTGGGTGGAGGCTGCCCTCAGTCCCTTGCCATGTGGGCCTCTCCAACATGGCAGCTTGCTTCATCAGCCCCAGAGAGAGAGAGTCTGTCAGCATGTCTGAAGTGATGTCGTATCACTTTTGCTGTATTCCATTGATTGTAAACAAATCACCAGGTCCAGCTCACGCTCAAGGGGAGGGGATTACAAAGCACATGTACCAGGAAGA